TGGATCCTTAAATTTACAGACAAGTATCCCAGTCACCACTCATCAAAGAAGTTTGTCTTTTCTTTTTTCTTTTTTTAAAATACTTTTGTGTTTTGTTTTGTTTTTAAATTTTATTTATTATTTTTATTTTATGTGTATGCATGTATTGCCTGCATGTAGGTAAGTGCACCCATGTCATGCAATGCCCACGGAGGTCAGAAGAGGCTGTTGGATCCCCTGGGACTGGTGTTATGGACAGCTGTTAACTGCCATGTGGGTGCTGGGATTTGAACCCCAGTCTTCTGCAAGAACAACCAGTGTTCTTACCCACTGAGCCATCTCTCCAGCCCCAGAAGTTTACTTTTTCAACAGACAAGAGATTACTACAGAGTTCCACAACTGGTCATGCACAGAGATTGTCTGTGAACTGTCCAAGTCTAAGTGGCACATCTACGATGTAAGCACTGTACCTAAAGCCCATGGAGCATAGAACCAGGGATGAAGAGAACACTGATGCATCTTTCAGTTCTCATCAATGGAGCTCCGTCATGCAACAGAGGGCCAGGCACACAAAGGTCACATAATGGTCAAAATGTAGAGAATAGGAGACTACAGAATGTGGGTCCTTCGACAGGACACCTATACTAAAATCCACCTACCCAGGGTTCAGGGACCACTGGGAAAGAGGGCAGAAAGATTGTAAGAGACAGGGAGGAGGTGCATGATCATATGGAAATACAGTCCTACAGCCTCCTGGGACCTTGCTCATTCGCACCTATAGCATGGCGTCAGCACACACATGACCCATGTAAAATCAAACAGACAAAACCCAGCACAGAACTGTGAAAATGGAGAGCAGGTCCCAATCTTAGTCACAGAATTATTGGCAGCTGATTACTGCAGGATGAGGAAGAGCTGATCTTCTTAAAGGGAGGGGCTAGTTAGTCTGCCTAGATTCCAGTGGATGAACTTGCACTGAGGGACATCTGGGAACACTAACTTGATGTGATAGGCCTTAACACAAATGACAGAATGTATGAACTCTAGTGGGGGGCTATGAGAGGGTGGCCAACGGGGATGATTAAGATGTTCTGTATGGCCGGGTACAGTGGCACATGCCTTTAATCCCAGCACTTGGGAGGCAGAGGCAGGCGGATCTCTGTGTGTTCAAGTCCAGCCTAGTCTACATATTGAGTTCCAGGCCAGCTGGGGCTACAGGGAGACCCTGTCTAAACAAACAAACAAACAAACAAACAAACAGATGTTCTGTATGAAATACACAAACATTCAATAAGAAATTAAAAAATTAGAAGTATCTAAGAACTCTGAAAATCAAAACTCAAGTAAAAATTGAAATTTTAAGTGTGTAGGTAACTCAATATTTTCTGATTATAACAACAGAATTCTGACAAATAACTTTGAGCCTATTTTTTTGTCTTTTTGAGATATTTGTCATGTTTTTAAAAAATCTTTTTTTTTTTTGGTGGTTTTGAACAAGGTCTTACTCTGTAGTCCATGTTGGCCTAGAGCTCACTATGCAACCCAGACCTACACTCACAGCAATCCTCTTGTTCGTTTGCTGGGATTACAGGTACACACCACATTTGAGAGATTAAAAAAAAAAATGGGCTGGAGAGATGGCTCAGCGGTTAAGAGCATTGGTTGTTCTTGCAGAAGACCTTGGGTCATATCCCAGGTCTGCATCCACATGGCAGCTAACAGCTGTCAGTAACTCCAGTTCCAGAGGATCTGACAGCCCCTTCTGTCCTCCACGGGCATTGCATGAAACGGGTGCACTTACCTACAGGCAGGCAATACATACATACACATAAAATAAAAACAATAAATTTAAAAAACTTATTCATTCTTTTATTTATTTTTATTTTGTGTATGAGTTTTGCCTGTATGTATGCATACAAAGCCCATGGATGTCAGAAGAGGGCGTTGGATCTCCTGGAACTGGAGTTACAGACAGT